TTTATGTTTTTTTTTTGGACTTTGACAACGTCAAAAATTGGGTCAGCTATAACAAAAGTTGGGTTAGCTATAACAAAAGTTACCAACCCAATTGTCCAAGTAAAAAAACATGTTCATTTCTATACCTACACGATTTTTATATTATCATTTATATTTTTACATTTTACTAGCAAAAGTTTACCTGCAGGTTTTCTTAAATAGGTATGTTAGAAAATCACGTTTTCCCAACATATTTTAAGAAATATTTTTTTTTATGATATTATGTTAGAAAATCACGTTTTTCCAACATATTTTATGAAATATTTTACATTATTTTACATTAATGCCCATATATCTAGTACCTACAGTAGTTAAGTCTCTTTTTTTCAAGAAAATAGGTACCTACCTACTTAAATAGCATATTTTTTAATTTAATGATACTCGAATTGACTTTGCTAGGTATGATATTTAACATTTAACTATAGTTGTATAAATATTTTATGTGTATATGTTTTATAATGGACAAGTGCGACAAAAGGTCTTATGACATGAGTTCTTTATGCTATTTTATCTATTTTGCAAACATTTCATAAAACAAATTAATTTTATAACTATTTAATTATATTTAATTTGGTCAAATTTTACTTTACATAGTTGGTATCTCAGTTTGAAGTTTGAAAGGTCATTAACCTTTCAAACATTATCACATTCTTTTGCTATGGCGTCGTTAATTTACAATAAGCGGCTGTTAAAGAAGAAAAAAGGATTTTCTTTGGTGTTAAACAAAATTTATTGCACGAAAAGTCTCGTAAGTACTAGAAAACAAATCATAAAAATATTATAACCTATAGGTATTCAAAATTGTATTTTACCAGTAGCCAACCTATAAAATCAAAATTTTGGGTGGAATAAAGTACCTCATTAAAGAACCAAAAGCGGTGTTATAATGAAGTCATTATGAAACCAAAATAGATAAAAGTATTAAAACAAATCTTAAAAAAATCTTTCGAGGGGTGGGTAATATTTTTTATTAGCAATTTCGATCACATTTATTAAAATTTTTATAAAAAATACTAGTTTAGTTTAAATGATTGAGTAACCATATTATACCTTATGTTAATGCCCATAGATCTAGTACAGTATAATATAGTAAAGTCTCTTTTTTTCAAGAAATTACCTACTTAGGTAAATAGCATATTTTTGAATTTAATGATACTCGAATTCACTTTGCTATGTATGATATTATAATAAATTTTATAGAAACCTAAAATAACATTTAACTATAGCTGAATAAATATTTTTACCTACGTAAAAAGTATTAAAACAAATCTTAAAAAAATCTTTCGAGGGGTGGATCCGTAGAGGGGATTGCAATAAAGCAGCAAGTAGGGGTGTGACAAAATGGCCTGCGAACCAAAGATCCGTGGCTCATGATCAGTTGGATAGTCGTGAATACACTGCAGTATTAATTTAGTTAATAATATTTCTACACTTCTATTAAAATTCAAAACCATAAATTGCGAATTTTTTGAAAATGTTTTAAAATATAAAAACTAATTAAAAGTTCTTGTGTTTTTTGTTTTTATTTTTTATTTGGATATCAAAGCAAAGAGATGGGCACAGGTATGTTTAATTTAACATTTTAAATTAGATGTTTATTAAAATGATAAACTTTTTATAGCAAAAATTAAATATTGTGTTTTATTTATTAAATTAATTCTTGTAAGAAAAAACATACTTACCTACTAGTGAGATTCTATTTAAATTATTTAGTATGTCAAAGGGTTACCTATTAACTTAATATAAAATACAATATAATTATATAATTTTTTGTGTAAGAACTTTATCATTTCATCAAATTAATATAAACTAAAAGATTTCCATAATATTATGCACCGTTGCGACGCGCAAATAATATAACGATCACTGTATACCTACTGATTTGTAGGAATCTGGTTAATTACTTTAGTTTAGGTTCTTTAGGGACTAGGATAGGTAGCTGATTCTTGGATTTACTTTTTCAAGTTCTTAGTTAGTTCTATTTTGTTCAACTCAAAGTTTTATACTTATACATATACATAATAATATTATGCAAAATAGGTATATGTGTATTAGGGTGTCCCTTATTTTTATTTTTTTTACGCATACCCTCTAATTATATTTATTACGTGTTTATATACTCCTAGTAAAAATTTCAGCTCATTCTATAAACGGGAACCCGTGCCGACTTGCATCTGAACCCTCCGTTAGCCAACGTTAGGCGCGCGGTATTTTGTAACACGGTTGGTCGCGTCATTTTGTGTTTGTTATTATGTGACCCTTATATTATAAATTATTGACAAATCGTCACCTGAGAATTATAGTGTTCTATCTGCATTTTCTTTTTTTTATTCAGGTTAGTCTTGTTTTAAGTATTAAAGATGCATATTGTTCTATCTATATATAATTGGGGTAGAAATTGTACAGTTTAAGCCTTAAACTTTACAATTTCTACCCCAATTATATATAGATAGATCAATATCATCTTTAAGACTTAAAACAAGACTAACCTGAATAAAAAAAAGAAAATGTAGATAGAACACTATAATTCTCAGGTGACGAAATGTTAAAATATAATTTTATTTATGTGTATACTTTGATAAAAATGTATATTTTCACAGGGAGTGGCTGGTTACCCGGAAGGGTCTGGTGAATAGGCCGTAAACTCTGAAATTGATAAACTTAATAGGTTTTACTCTAAATAACTAAAAGAGTCTATTGTAAGAGATGACTACCGAAAACTTATTGAACTGTCTAAAATATTTTTGGGAGGACATCAAGAAAAGAAATGCTTATAAAAAGCTGAAATTTCATATAACAGTATATTTTAGCAATACTAATTAGTATATTAATATATTTAAGGGATAAAATCAACTAAATTAGTGAAAGAAATGATAGAAACAAAAGCAATAACATTAATTAGTAATCATATTTAATAAAATCATTAGAAAAATACAGTCATGAAGTATATCTTCTTTTTAAAGTGTTTCATGTTACAAAATACCGCGGTCCTAACGTTGGCTAACGGAGGGTTTAAATGCAAGTCGGCACGGGTTCCCGTTTATAGAATGAGCTGAAATTTTAACTGGGAGTATATAAACAAGTAATAAATATAATTTGAGGGTATGCGTAAAAAAAATAAAAATAAGGGACACCCTAATGTGTATAATATAATAATAATATAATATAATATAATATAATATTAATTCTAATTGTCAAAAACATAAGTCAAAATTGGTTGTGTTAAAATATGGGATTTGGTAATTTAAAGAGAAAGTTTTGTTGAAAGGATATATGGATGTAAATATTTGCAAGGTAATAGATGAGAAGAGATAATGGAAATAAAGTTACATTATGATAAAAATATAAGAAGGGTTAAGTGTAGCGAGTTTTGATTATGTAATTAAAACATTTATATATTAATGCCTAGACAAGCTATAAGCTTAATGGAATGTATATATATATGTAATATTAATAAAAATAATAATAGCATATATATATATAAATATACAGGCCGCTTTAAGTTGGCCTCCCTTTATATTCTTTATTCTCAAAATATTTTTGTCGGTAAAAATTTTTTTTTAAATAATCTTAAATTAGATCAAATTTTCTTTATCTCAAAAAAACAGGGCGACTTAAAACAGATTGATTGATTCATTATATATTATACAACACATATAATACAATACAATAAATTATTATAAATAATTTAATATAATAATATATATTATTATAAATATTATAAATGGCACTCCATTTAAAAAATATATACAGAATATATATATATATATATATATACATGCATTTTGTCTTATACACCTCCAAAATATATAAAATCTGAACGCACACGCCTCAAAAATCGGAGGTAAATTGGAAAATCCGGAGGTCAGTTCGTATCCCCGTGTATAAGAGTCCAAAACGTTTAGCGAAGTCATAATACGCCTGTACGCAAATTTTTGTCTGGAGTTCATTTGGCAAATACACATGCATAGTTACACAACGTAGTTCATCAAAATTTCACCAGTTGGCGCTACTACATATACACATATATTTCCCGAAAAGTCTGCAGTATCTTCTGGACTCCATACATTCTTCGCTCTTACTTACTTCCTGAGAATCGGCAACGCTGTTGGAGGCAAATTAGTGCAAGTAATTTGTTTTTATATCATTATAATGCATTTTAACTAGTTTCCAAAGGTTTTGTTACTTTTTAATTGGGTGTATACACTGTACGGCAAGTAAGTTACCTCACGTAACCAGGGTTCTTTTATTTCTTTATCGGATATTAAAGGACTGGTAAGTTAATAGGTAGGTTTTAATTTAATTATTTTACAGCACTAAAACAATATTTCCTTTCAGTAAGCCGACTAAAAACTTAACAGTTGGTAAAGCATGCTAGCTCGCCATGAATATTATTTTTAAGGGTAAGTACTAACGAAATAAATAAAAATAATTATTAATATGTTACTTTTTAGCGATAAATTACAATCAGATTTTAAGACAAGAATAATCCATTCACAGTAACAATGGCAAATTATTATTCGTTTTAGAAAGCATATTAAAATTATTTTAACTATTATTATTGATTTAATAATTAATATTTTTTCTTTTTTATAGCTCATAATTCAGAACACACAAAAGTCATCAAAAGCAGCTATAGGAAACTACTAATATACTACAGATTTTGTATTTATATGTCTTTTTAAATAAATGTTTAATTATTCTTTATGGTTGTATTTGTTAACTATAAATAGCAAATTTACTAAAACCTTTACTTGTAGGTATAGGTTTTAGTAAACTTGCACATTCAATATTTCAGGTTCTCAATTATTTTTAATAAATTAATTAAATTACGGAATATGGCGAGGAATAAAAACAAATTATTATATTTTAAGTTTTATTAAGAAATTAAAAATATAAATAATTGAACAAATAAATTTTTTTTTTATTTTTTATTAAAAAAAGAATCAAACGCTTAGGGGTTACTTTTGTCGATAACAATTATAAATAAAAGTTTTTATTTTAACCCAGTCTTTGTTATGAAGAATATCAGGAAATTTTTCAATCAATTGCACACACTCTTGTTTTTTAGGAGGTTTTTTGGAGCTAATATGCTCTTTAAAGTATTTCTTTAATAACATTGTTTGTTCATTATTCCAAGGGGTTCTACCATTTATTTTGATTTTTTGACAGCGAACATTTGTTTTTTCTGAAAAATAAATTAAAATACTATTATAGTATAATACTATATAGGTTTGCATTTTAAATTTATATAATATATAAATTTAAAATGCAAACCAATATAGTATAGCATATTATGCTTTTCCTGAGGATTATTTACTGCCACAAGATTATTTATTTGTTTAAATTACCTTCTGCTGTAACTTTTTCCTGAAAACCACATTTTCCAGCTAAAATAGTCCCACTTTCTACTTCCTCATCAGACTCTTCTGCTAATTCTTTTTCCGGATTTATATTTATTTCATTTAAGGACTTTCCCTTATAATCTTCAGCTCCTCTCTCCATAAGTAGTAAGAGTTTTGACACTTTTGCTGTCTGATATATATCTTGAGGTAACCTAATAATGGTAAAAGGAATTCATGAAGTAAACAATTTGGTTTTTTATTTTTTTTTAAATTTAAACAACAACAAACATTAGGTAAACAAATAGATTTAATTATGTTTTCCAATTTAAATTTTTTTTAAATCCCACTGTTAAATTTAAAATTGTTTAAACTTACTTATAAAATTCGTTATGTGTCTTTTGAGTATGCCCCATGAATTGAGCAAATTGGTCCAATTCATCATTGCTTAGATTAAGAATTTGCATAACAGTTGCTATTTGTTTTCTTAATTTATTTGAAGAAATTTGGGTGGGATTTGAAATACCAGCTTTCTCAGCAAATCTGCGAATAACAACGTCTCCCCGTGTCCATTTAGTCGTACCTGGGCATCCAAATAAGTATTTGTTATCCTTGGGGACTATTTCAGAATTTATTCGAATATTAACGAATAATTCAATATAATCTTGCAATTTAATAGGAAATAAAATTGCGATTGCCCTGCTACCTTTCCCACCAGTTACAAGCCTTTTGTAATGTTTTGTAAGAATTTTTTCAGTTTCTGATAAGGCGTTTTCGAATTCCTCTTGGTTACATGTATTTTTATTATATTCAGTGTATGTTTCTAAACTTGTGTACTGTACGTCGCCTATTCTTCTTCTATTAAAAAGAATAGTTAATGTAAGGGAAGCTTCAACCAGGTTTTTGAATTCTTTTTTATTATTCGGTTCTTGCTTTAATATTGTAAATGCTTTATCCGCAACTTCGGTAACATACTCTTTAAATTTTTTGACATCAGATGTAAGAGGCAATATGACTGGTTTCTTCCAACGCATTTCTTGAATATTTTTGAAAGCAAGACTGCTGATTTCGGTGGTCCATTGTGTTTCTATTAAGTTTTTGAATCGCTTGGTTTCTTTAATCACCCCTTCTCTATTGGTCACCTTAATCACAGGATCTTCTTTAAGTAATAATCGAATAAAAATGTCGCAAACTTGTTTTAATGATGTTCCTAAGTGAGCTGACAAACTAGGCGATTTGTATATTTTTTTTTCTATATCATAACCCCCTAACCTTTTCGCGCATTCAACTGTAGCATCAAATAACTTAGGTGACAAAATATTTTGTAGGGTGCAATTAGGATTATTTGTATTTTTTCGGAATTCCAGAAGAAACCTAGCCAGTTCCCTCATTTTGTTTGAACAAACGGAAACTATTTGTTCTCGTTTGTGTTTTTTTAAGTAGTTTTCTCCAAATATAGTTATTAAATAGTCTGTTTTTGCTATTAAAGATATGTTATCAGCTTTCATTCTGGAAAAAACTTCTTGTTTAACCCTTAGTTTGCATACTGTACTGTTTTCATCAAGTGAGCACGCTATCATTGTTTGCGATTCAGCTCGTTCATTCACTTTATTTTGTGGATGTCCTGTAGATTTTTGCACTACACATGTTTTTTTATGACGTGATAAATATTTTTTTGAAAGTAAAGCCTTGCATCTATGACAAGGGTAATATTCTTTTGACTTTGATTCCCTTCCGTATTTTGGATAAATATTGCCTTTGAGAAATTCATTAAAATGACCAGAATTTCTAATAAGACTTATAATATTTTTTCTTTCTTGATGCTTTTTAGGATATGACAACATTTCTATAACTTCTTTAACATCAGTGTGGTTTCTTTCGAGATGTCTTTCAAAATTGGTTACGTCACTTAGACAATATTTACAATGGGTTTTCTTCCTTTTTGTAATGCTATATGAAGTCTAAAAATTAAAATTAGGTACTAATGAAATTTGAGAAAAAAATAAATTTTAGATGCATATATAACTAAAATATACCGTTCACATACTTTTTTAATCAGAGTTTTTAAATTTGTTAAAATAAAAAATTAAACTTTAAATTCATTTACCGTTTTTGTAAAACATGTCATGGTAACAGTTCATTAAATTAAATTAAAAAAAAATATATTCTAAATTTTTGTTCCATTTTACAAGTTTTATTTTTCTGATCAGACTAAGTATAGATTTAAAATTATAAAATTATTATATACGGGGTGGTCCAAAAGGAACCTTTAATATTTTGAGAATCAATAAAAAACGTTAAAAAAATATGAATTTTATTAATTAGGTACCTATCGAAAACTTAAAAATACAAGGTGTTGAAGTTGCATATATTTATCTGAAGAAAATTAATTTCTCCAAAACTAAAGCAAATATTTTATTGGAATTAGGTGTGTATTGTTTTTTATTAGTTGAGCATAAAATTTGTTTTCATACTACAATATATATATTAGACTGGGCCAAAAAAATCGACTATTTTTTTTGGAAAGTATATCGAAAATATTGTTTGGGGTGACAAAAAAAATTATGGTGAAAGTTTGAGTCCATAATATTAAGAGGTCTATCATCGCAATTTTAGATTTTTTTTTCCTGAGCGAGTTTTTGTCTCAGAACTCCCAAATCATTGAGTTTAACAAAATTGACTTAGGAATATATTTTAAATTGAATGCTCTACAAAAAAGGTTTGATTGGAATTTCCCGTCAGATGAACCGTTTTCTTACAATCATGCCTTAAAAATTGGTATAGTTTTACAATTTGATCTTTTAAATTTTGTAATTCAAGTAAAAATCAGTACCCTGAAAAAAAAATAATATTCTTATGGGAAATCAAATGCTCTACAAAAAAGTCTTTTATCATTTTTGGCTAAATTCACTCCATCAAAAGTTATTCAAGGTTAAATTTGAAGTCAAAACGAAATTTTAACCTTGAATAACTTTTGATTAAGTCAATTTAGCCAAAAATGTTAGGAGGCTTTTTTTGTAAAGCATTTGATTTCCCATAAGAATATTTATCGGTTTTTTATGGGTACTGATTTTTACATGAATTACAAAATTCCAATTTAAAAGATCAAAATGTAAAACTATACCAATTTTTAAGGCATGATTTTAAGGAAACGGTTCATCTGACGGAAAATTTCATTTAACCTTTTTTGTAGAGCATTTAATTTTCTTAAAAAAATATTTTAAGTCAATTTTGTTAAACTCAATGGTTTGGGAGTTCTGAGCCTAAAACTTGCTGAGGAAAAAAAAATTAAAATTGCGATGATAGACCTCTTAATATTAATATTATGGACTCAAACTTTCACAATAATTTTTTTGTCATCCCAAACCATATTTTCGATATACTTTTCAAAAAAAAAAATAGTTGATTTTTTTGGCCCAGTCTAATATATATAAAAAGTGTAGACATGTAGACAATTTTCTATAGATCATTGACGTCCCTTTTTTTTCTCTAAAAATAAATAATATCACCCCCGTAGTGACGCCACTGCTTATAGTATGAAAAGGAATTTAATGCCTAACTATATCAAATAACACTACTTACTAATTTTTAATATACGATTTTTCTTGATTGATTTTTATATTAATTATAAAGGTTTCTTTTGAACCACTCTGTATAAATAACTTTTTTAGTCTGATCGGGAAAAAAGTGAACTGAATACATGTTGTTAATAAAATATTTTAGATTTAATGCAAATCATAAGATGTAACTTACATTAAAATCAGAAAAAGCAGCTTGGCAATGGCCTGTTAAATTTTCTTTGCTTTTTATTTGGTTTTGATCTAACGTCCCCACCACCTGAAAATTATTTTAAATTTAATTCATCGTGTACCTACTTTTTTAATCAGTGAATATTTTTTATTATTTGATTTTTACGTTAAAAATATCTTTTGTCTCGAAACCCTCAAATTTTGTCATGAAAATGTGTCACCAAAAATCGACACGTATTGTATCATATTATGTATCCAATATTAAATTTCTTAAGGTTTTATCAATGAATTATTTTACCTTAAACTATATAAAACATGGATACAACCATGGTATAAAAAGGCATATCATAAATATACTTTACATAACGTATCCTCATAATGATAATAATAACTTACATTAGCTTCAGAAAAATCATCTTGATACTGGCTTGTAAAATTGTCCTTCCTTATTATAAACTCTTGATTTAATGTTTCTACCTCCTGCAGACGGAATGTTTAAATATTAACAAAATGTACAGAGAACACAATACATTTTTTATTAAATTAAATTAATTAAGTTTTAAAATAATTGAGGTTAAAGTCAATTTAAAGAATGTATTTTGTGTATATAAAGGTCTTAATTTATGAGGAAGATGAGGGCCAGACGAGAGACGCAAATGATCCGAGTCAATAATGCGCATAATCTCGAATGTAATACTATACCTTATCTACTCCAATTAATAGTTATTCAAAAATTAATAAATAAAATTTTACATTTGTCAGTTGGTTAACCTTACTTTCCACCAAATTTAAATATATTAGAGGCGCCTTTTCCCAATTTTTTCGATTGGTTTAAATCACAGGCCAATGCCCAACAACGTGAATAATGAGTTCATTATTCTCGTTGTTATGCTGGGCGGTTATAATGGTTACCATTATAAAAGAAAAAATCCCAATATTATTTAATAGGAGTAGATAAATAAATGCATTGGATTATTTTCAGAAAATAAGACAAAATTAGCGTTAAACTGTTTAAATGTTAAAATTGAACTTTCTGATGTGAAGCATAGAAGTTAGGACCTATAAGCAAAAAAATACATAAACCTTAATTAGTAAAATAATATTTACCCTCTCCACATTAAAACATTGTTCCTCCTCGCTATCAGTACTACTCGAATTATTATCGGGTGAAAGGACGAAATTTGGATCATCTACGTTATCATCAGACACCCAGCCAGGTTCTAAACAATCTAACAAAGATCCTTCAAGAGATGGAGCAGAACTGCTTTGATCACTTTGGCATTCATTGTCTAAAAAGTAGGACAAATAATTAAATATTTTTAAATTACGTATTTTATGAAAAATAATAATAATAAATTATAAGTAATTTATTTAGGAACTATTTTTTTATTGTTCTCTGATATCCCTTTTTTCATATTTTTAATTTAATAAAAAAGTTTACAGTATTATTTATACTTATAAAACATTACACATTTAAGCCATATGGCAACTGCCGTAATTAAATTAATATTTAAAAATGTTTTAATATCACTATGCAACAAATTAAATAGCTGGCTTCGGACCGGGAAAAATATACAGTGTTGCAAAAAAACTAATTCGTGTGTTGGAATTTTTTCATATTGGCTTTAGTTTTCGAGATATTACAATTTAATTTTAATTTTTGAAAAATACAAAAATTTAATTAAAATAACCCAAAACTTTATACTTCAAAACATGTTTAAGTTTTTAAAATTTTAAAAATCCGATAATTTTTAACCAACTAACTAAGTAATCAACAAAGGAACGTCACATTAACACTTTCGTAACAGGAAAGTTTTAAAAAAATGCCTGTACAATGTGCAGGCATTTCTTTAAAACTTTCCTGTTACGAAAGGGTTAATTAACCCTACATTAATGTACAAGTACAAGTTCAAGTACAGGAACAGTGATCAATCACTGTAAATCTCCCTGCTTTAAGTTTTAATTTTGAATTGGAAGTATTTTCACTATTTTTTATTAACCTTCAATAGTTCATAAAATAAGTGGTAAAATAATTAAAAAGTAGCCCGCCTTATTGTGTGTATCATGTCGCCCTTTGATGCAGCATATGTCCCCGCAGACTCTCACAACTAAGTTTTTTTGCCATCTTCCGCCTCCGCTAACACCTGCAATAAATGATCAAACCGTCTTCCGACTCTACTTGGTGCCTCTGCCGCTGCGTAAATATACTCTTCCCGCATGACAAACACGTTTTTTCGGATTTAATAGGTTTCCGATTGGAAAAAGTTGAAAAAAATAATTATAATAAGTATATTAATATATTTCTTTCTTGGTCATAAATTATCGGTTTTTCAAAATTAAATGAATTTTACGTAGATTTTATTAAAAAAATATATTTAAAAAATCCATTTCCAAGGTTATTTTTTTAAAATTACAATTTTTTTATTAAAAAAAAAAAATAACCAAAATTAAAAATATAAAATAAACTGAAGAATATGAAAAAAATCCGAAACATATTAATTTTTTTGAATTACTGTATGCATTTGCTCTGGTACCAACCTAGATATTTATTTGTTATCAAATTTTGTAGACAGTGTAATGAATAAATGAATCAATAAATTATTTAGTTACTTTAAAAAAAATGGGAAATAGGTATTTAAAAAATCCATTAAACTATAACGAAAGCCCATGTTAAAACTACAAAAACTACTTGCATGTAAATAATGTTAATGTATAAAAGGTAAATTCACGATTATTTAAAAGTTAACCTAAAATATATTGGAATAACCAATAATGCAATAAGCATTTATTAATTATATATTTTTAATGTCATCTTACAATCATCACAGCTTACCTAAAGTCTTGTTTCCTTGGGCCATTGCAACGATCCTCCTTGATCTAAAGAAATAATATAAAATTAAACGACTAAACAAGTTTCTACAGAATATTTATTTTTAAAATAAACAATAACAATCAATTTACAAACTCTCTTACCTATTCATTTTGTCTCCAACACATAAAACACCTGTTCACTTAAGATTGGAGGCAAAAGCGTGCGACGCGTGCCATCAACACTACCGAAATCAAATAAATACGTTTTAAAATTAAGCTGTTGCTAACAACTAACCCCTTCTAGACAATTATGGAATGAAAATTATAGGCAACACTGTTGGAGGTGTATACGACCGTAGCGTCAAAACAGATACACAAAAAGGATGCGTGTTAAGCACTTAATATTCGGAGGTCTGTTACATTTAAAAGTATTTTAAAATTCTGTGTATATTAAACGTGATTTTTTTTTACCCCTCTTATGTTACCATGGCACACAGTCACAAATACTTTAATTTTATAAAGAATATACAAATTTAAACTTATTCGTTAAGGTGGAGGCTTGGGTGCCTATGTCATGTACGGAGGCCAGTTGGATAGCTTTGCACGTATATATATATATATATTAGGGTGGCCAAAAAAAAAGGATATTTTATTCTCTCGTCTCTTGTGAAAATATGAATATAAAAGATCAGCTCCATTAAAAATGTTTTAGGGGTCGCTCAAGATTTTTAAAACATTCCAAAATCGTCAAAAATTGGATTTTTTTTCTCCTTCCGATATTATTTTTTAATTTAAATATAATATTAATTCTGAAAATTTCAAATCGATTTGATTTCTAAAGGTCGAACATAATTTTTTAACTTTCAAAGTAGAGTATTTTGAATGTTTTCGAGCGACCTCTGAATATAAATATCAACGAACTTTTAGCGACCTTTATAAATCAAAATATTGATTTGAAATTTACAGAATTTTTATTAGTTTCAACCATAAAAATAATATCGAGACGAGAAAAAAAATTAAAATAAAACAAAGATTTAATTTTTGACGATTTTGAAAATTTTAAAAAATCTTGAGCGACCCCTAAAATTTTTTGAATCGAGCTGATATTTTGACAGGGCTCTTACAGCATGATAAACTAACATATTTTTACAAGAGACGAGAACAAAAATATTCTTTTTTTTTTGACGACCCTAATATATATATATATATATATATATATATATATATATATATATATATATATGTACATCCACCTACCAATAGAGCGTCCATACATTGCAAAATTACATTCAATAGAGCGTCCGGGTGCATAGAGCGCTCCATGCACATCACGTGTACAATTTTACAGGGTGGTTCTAGGTAATTTTCTTGACCCTCGGGCAAAATTTGACCGGACGCTCTATTGTTGATGAAATAAAAGTAGAAAGACCGGTATACGTATATTATGAGTTCAAGCAATTTGACACTAGGGGGCGCCGCGCCGTATAGCGGTATACATTTTTCATTTACTTCTGTTACAAAGGAGCGTCCTCATAATTTGGCAACTGTGTAGGTACTTGTATTATATTTATTATATTATAGAATCAGCTTTCAAGTATTTTATGCAAAGCGGAACATGTTAAAAATACTTTACCATCTATAGGGCATCCACATCCTGATTCTGATACAATTTGTTTGCATATATATATATAATAAAATAATTATAAAATCTACTAAATATAATTTTTTTTGTTTGCAAGAACCTTCATTTTATTACTTAACTACCATCTCCTAGATATCCCTCTGTTTTTATTTATTTGTTTTTTATCAATAGTATGTTGTTAATAAATTACACTAGTTTACAAATTTTAATTTTAGGAAGATAGATTTTTTTCTGCATTTTTTAAGGTAATTTTGGCGTGCTGAACACAAGAAACGAACGTATTTTATTCTGAATTTGGCCATTCACCTAGGTAACGGTTTATTTTTGTTTAGATTTATGATTTAAAAACTCACACCAGTATCCGGAGTGAAGGATACGCCCGATCAAGGTATGGTTAAAAAGGTAAATCGTCCAAAGGTATTAAATTTGTAATCCATGTTATTATTTAAGATTTTTAGCTATTTTGCAAGGGTGGATTTTTAGCTATATTTCATGAAATTTAAACTGTAACTCGGCCATTCTTTATCATATTAAAACAAAGTGGATACCGTTAGAAGAGTAATTTAATGACCTTTTTGAAGATATGTTTTTCGTGTTTTTCGTGTTTAGAAACACTATAGGTATTATTACCTTAAGTAACAAAATGTAAAAAAACTTTCTACTTTTTTCTGATAACAAGTGTTTTGCAGACTTGAGAAATTGGTAAAACAAAACAATACCATTCCAAAAAATATCTAAACTATGATTTAGGCAAATTTTAATTATTGCGGCTAAATTCAAAGAGATGTAAGTGCAGCGGCCCTAATATTGTTATAATATTGTATACAATCTATAGAAAACCCAGTTTTACGCATTTTGGCCCACTGATAGCGGTTAGTGTAAATTTACTTGTGGTGAGGGTGTTTCGATTTTTTATAAGTGATTGCCAAATTAAGTAACTACTACTATACTATACCGACAAGTTTTACCAAATGTCAATAACGGTACGTAACACGGTCTTATAAGACCGTGTCAGCGACATTTAGTGACATTTGAATTAGTTGGTATAGTACTTATATTGGTAATACCTTATGAAAAAATCAGAATACCCCCACCACCGCTATCCAGTTTATAGTATAGATCAGTGTTTGGGCCTCAATAACGAAAATTGTGTTTTATCCTAGATTTTTACCTAAATTATAATGTATCATCTATGTATTTCACAAGTAAATTTAGTAAAACAAACGATACATTTTTATGTTCGTCAATATATTTAAAAACGTAGATGTCGTTAGTTTATACAAGCAATTTTTATTTGTTGTTACCCAGATAGCACAAAGAAGTACTGGAAACGTCCTGAGTATATCTTGTATTAGACAATAGTAAGTCCCGAGTACGTCCGAATCAGGTCCTGAACCTTCCGCAGGACGTACCAGGGACATCTGATGTTACCAAATCGTCGGTCCCCAGAAGGTCCTAAGTAAGACATCCTCTGGCCGTCCTGAAATGCTTTATTGGGGACTATTGGACAAGCTTTACAGAATTGAAGAGTCTAAGTGACAAAAATAAAATTAGGAGTTATCAATGAAAAACAAATATTTTGCACATATAAATGTTGGAATATATTTAAGTCATTCTGCATGACAAACTATTTTTAAATGATAATATATTATTTAACCAACTTGGCACTTAGACCCTTTGGAAATACCATGCTTCTATTATCTACTAAAAAAACAAAAATTACGTCCTTGGACCGTCCGAGTATATCCGCTTTAATTTTCCCAAATAAGTAAGAGACTGGACGTACCCAAAACTTCCGATATAGGTCTGGGACGTTCGGACCAATGTGGGACCCGAAATGGACGTCCTAGGTACCTCTTGTGCTATCTGGGTGTATAAACATTTTAACAGTTTAAGAGTTTTTTATACAAATGGTATATTTTTGTGTCCATAATTTCGTGATTAAATGCATAGAGCACATATTTAAATGGATTTGAGCTGTTGAATAATAAAATTACTGTGCCATTATTTTAAGTTAAATAAATCTTAGCGTCCCCCGAAATTTTGATCCTATCAATGAATAAATGCATGCATGATAAAATCTATTTTTTTTTAAATTTTATTACAAAGATCCACCTAAAATAATTATTATCATGCCTATAGGCATTATATATAAAGTATTATAAATCGTAATAATTAAAACAATAAATTGCCGGTTTGTTAAAAAATATGTACATATTTATTGTGATCTGGTAACTGTCATTTTTGTTAATTTATTTTGTGGTCGTTGAGATTTCCCCGCATTAGTCTAAAGAAACACGGTTCTTTTAATAAAAGGACGCTTGAATGTAGTTATAATAACAGTAACTTTAATTTATATACGCCTTCTTCCAACTGCTTCACCTGGCAACGCTATCGGACGCTCTATTAATAGATTTTAACAAATGCATTTTAAATACGGACGCTCCAAAGACTGTTCAGTAAAAGTACTTGTATATTATTGGACGCCATATACGCGGCGAAATGAACGGACGCTCAGTTGAGATCAAAGTGAAAGTAATAATTTTTCGGACGCTCTATTAATGTTTTGTGTAAGGACGCTCTATAGATAGTGGGATGTATATATATATATATATAATATATATATTATATATATATATATGTGGGTGACCCTAAGATAATACACCCCATAGATTGGAAACTCTCCCACAACTGCCCTCTAGAGCTACAATACCTGAACTATATCTATTTGTAAATTGCAGACATCTGTACAAACGCTATTTGCAAATGTCAATCTCAATCAATAGGATTGCTTGTTTAATGGTAATTTAGTCCAGGTCAAGCCCAGGCTACTTAAGGTTGTTTCAAAATCAAGAGTTGGCAAGATTTTTCACGGTTGTTAGAACTTGCCAAAAGTCCACACTCAAAAGCCTTGTACAAATTTCTATATGTATATGTATAAGTAGCCTCGACTAAATTACCAAATTTTGCAATATTCTCTTATTATTGAAGAATTAAGACTAATATTTTTTAGGTTTGCACTCCACAAACAAAAACATATTCATGTATACCGATTATGTATTTAATATGTACATATTAGGGGTTTCCAATCCCGGGCCTTTCGGGACCCCCGGGATCAGTCCCGAAAAAATATATATCATTAATTTTTAAACCAATTTAAAATAAAACAACAAACAAACTAACGAACGATATCTTTCGGACTTCACACTAGTCGGAAGAATGGTTTTTAAGAATTCGTAGGCACATTGTACCCACGTTTACCCCCATTAACAAATAATTCCATTTCTTTTATTAATCGGGCCTTGGTGAGTTCCAATTGGGGCTATAACTTACATTGAAATGATCAAGTTTGTGACATTTTATATTATAGGTTGTGCATAAATTTATTCTACTACAGTGACCTGTAATTTTACATTTTCTTTGCTGATTTTATGCTATAGATGTAACCACTCTTGCTATGTAATTTCAATGTATTTTCATTATTGTACGGCGGTGTATAATAATTTGACTTGAAATGAGTAAAAAAATGAAGTTTTTATATATGCTTATATATGTTTTTATGCTCATGAGTGTTATAATATGAAAAATGTC